ACTTCTGATTGATCCATTTGTAGTACTTCATTTGCATGGAGCTCAATCCTGATTGGTCCATTTCTCTCACTCCTGATTGGTTATTTCTCTCACACCTGATTGGTCTATTTCTACAAAGGTTGTTCCTAGTTGTTCAACTTTTGTTATACTTTATTTGCATGTGATGTTGCAACTTGTAAATTGGCAGCCTATAAAGGCCTGTGTAAACCTACAAACGGGGTCCAGAGGTTGGAGTGTTAACGCTTGGTCTTGCTGGTGTGATAAACCGGGCTTTTCAAACTCTGCGACTGCTGCTTGGTCTCTCGCCTGGGCACAGGTTGTTGTCACCGCTGAGCTGGAACATGTTTTTCCGCAGCAAGAGGTTGGAACTCTGTTCCTTGAATGCATAGTAGAATTTTGCAAAACTAACTGGCCCAGTGTTGTTTTTGGTGGGGGGTGGTTGATAGATTGCTAACGTCATGTTCAGATTTCTGTAGGGCTGTCTCTCTCAGATGGCCTGCTTGTTCTTAAGCAAGTTTGGGAAGATGTTTTTCTAGAATAGTGTTCGTCCTGCCAAGGTTTTCAAACTTACTGTCATAGGTTTGTATTTTATTTGTAGTATTGTCTCTATTTAAAAAACGTCTCCAACGCATAGTGAAGCCCCCTTTCTTGCCCTCAGGTCTTTTTTCTCTTTCATGATCGTCTCAGCAGAGCTTTGTCAGTTTACTAGCAATTCCTTAGAACTGACTTGGGGCTTTTGTGAGACTTGCCACTGTGCGTGTGTTTTGTTTCATTATGTCTGTTTTGGTCTCGCTTGTTTCCTTACTCCTGCTTACTGTGGGATTATTCCCTTGTCCGTTTTGTAACTTCTTAAACAGTCCCCTTACACGTAAAAGGAAGCAAGTGGTCTGACAAACGGTTACCGACCTGGGTTCTTGGACTCCTTAATCAATAAACATTTGTTTGTGAGGCCAGAAGAGGAATTCAGGCAAGGCTGTGCTGGGGCTCCCGGGAGCGGAGGGAGACAAGTAACAAGTGCCCTGCTCGCGCCCGGGGCAGGCGGTGGGGAGCTGGTCCCTTAAATGAGGTGCCGTAGGGCTGGGAGGTTCATGGCAGAGGGGTGCCTTAGGTGGTCTGCCGGCCCCCTTGGTGGCACCGTGTGCAGGGATCACACCCGGTACCCTGATTTTGCTTTCAGCCCCTCAGAAGTGGCAGTTTTGGTCTTTTTGTATCTTATTGTTCATGATTTGCCCCAACTGCGAATGCACGCAGTTATTTTTAGTCTCTTATAGTCGTTTTGGTGTTCTGTTGCTGGAGGAAACATTTGTGCAGGTGCAAACACTGCAGCAAAGGGCCCAGGTCCCAGCCTGTCTCATGACCTGTCTGCTTCCAAGTCTGACCCTGAGGGACTCTGTGACTCCCTGTGGCAGTGTACAAGGCTCCCTCATGCCTGCCTTCTGTTCCCCTGTGGGGGCGGGGAGGGAGGCTGCTTCCCACCCAGATGCCTTGGAACAGAAGGAAACTGGGGGCTCCCCGGGGGGCAACAGGTCTGTCCAGGGAGGTTGGGAATGTGGGAACAAGAGTCAGCTCTCCTGGTGGTCCCCTTCCCTGCTGCTGGTTCCCACAACTTTTCCAGAGCTTGCCTTGAGGTTTTAGGGTCATGGGAGCAGGAAGTACTGAGGTGCTAGGGCTTGGCTAGTGGGTTAGGGCGCCCGGTTCTCTAGGGAAAGAAGCCACCAGACCTGTCAGGGGGATGGGAGGAGGGGCTGAAGAAAGAGTTCCATCCCTCCCCCATCTCCTGAGCCCAGTTCCCTCATCCTCCGGCCAGAATGGAATTTTCCTGGTAGGGCCAGTTCTGACTCCAGGCTGGGGCGTGGAGCTGATCCCTGTCTGGGCCCAGCTGCCTTCCTGGGAAGGGGAGGGGCGCAGATAAGACTCCAGGCCACTGGGCTCTGGCTGGGCCTCACGTCCTCCCTGTGGGAGGGCATGTCTCCCCCGCCCTGGGAAGGGTCTCTCCAGGCCATGCTGTGCCCTGGGACAGGAGCTCTTTGGGAGCCTTCTTCCCTGGCACCCTGATCTGTGTCATCGGTCCTGGCTGCCAGGTCCTCCACAGGGTCACCTGGGGTCAGAGGAGAGGGAATGAGCGGGAGGTGCGTGGAGCAAGTGAGGGGACCCACTGTCAGGCAGCAGACAGCTTGCAAAGTAGTGTGGAGGCCTGAGAGGAGGAGACGAGCTTGGCAGGGTCAGAGCCAGGGGAGCCAGGGGACCCAGAAGGCGTCCCTCCGGAGCAGTGACCACAAGCAGTCGGTCGGGGAACGGTGGACCAATGAGAACAGCCCGGGTGTCTCACAGCCGAGCCTTAGCCTGCACCTCCTGCCCTAAATCACCTCTGTCCCAGTGCTTTCCTTCGAGCATCCTGGGTGTCCACATACGGTGATTGGTGGTGACTTCTGGAAAGCAGTGGTCAATCAGCCACGTCTGTCAAGGCAGGGAAAGCAGGGCGGCCCGCAGTGACGTCTGCCAGCCCGGCTGGAGGAGAAATCAGCTCTTGCTGACGTGTGAAGGTCGACAGCCCCAGGGCTGGGTGCTAGTAGGCCATGGGGTTCATCCCGTAATTATTCTAAATGGCAAACCTGAGTCTGCTTGGAGCAGGGAGACAGGGAGGAGGGGGACAGTGGGGCCTGCAGGTGGACCGGACCCCGGACTGGCCTCCTCCCCAGCAGGAGGTGATCCCAACAGCAGCTGCCTGGTGCCAGGGGAGCTCTCCTCTCTGCTGGGCTTGTGTCCCGGGCTCTGCTCTGATGCCCGGCCCTCAGCGCTGCCCCCACCCACTGCCCACTCCCAACTCACTTCCTTTCCCGAGATCACGGTGACCATCTGTCCTGGGTTTTCTAAGAGAGGCCTAATTTTATTATTTCCTCAATTAAGGTGGTTTTAAGCATTAGTAAGAATTTTTGTGCAAGTAAGTGTATGCATCGGGAAACACAAGGCCGACTGTCGCCGTTTCTGCCTCCTTCCGTGCCTTGAGGTGGTTTCTGAGCTGCTTGCCCACCCTCAGACCCGACTTGACCTTGTGGGATTTGCCTCCTCAGAGAGGCCTTCCCTGACTGCTCGGACACAGCCCCACCCCATCACCTCCACTGCACCACCTTCCGCTGTCTGAAGAGTTGGTCCATTGTGTGTTTTTGATGGCACCACCCAGCGTGAACCCCTGGAGAGCAGGCACTTTGCTGGGCCCATCGCCGCACCTCCCCCGCACATGGACCACCACCGGCTGCACCCCCGGCGCTGGGTGTTTGTGAGCCTGTTGAATTTTCCCGATTCTAGTGCTGGCACCTTCTGGCCCATTCATCTCAGCCAGACACCTGCAAATCCTGGGCCCCCTTGTTGGAAACATTCTAAGTCAATGGCTGATGAGTTTGAGCTTCCTGCATCTGAAGGGTCACTGCAAGGGAGAGGCGCTGACCGTCACTCTCCAGCCCTCCGAGGGGTAGATCCAGAGGGCCTGGGACACCAGAGGATGTCTCTTTTTCTCACCGGAGAGCCAGCGCCTCCCTCTAGATGGCCTCAGAGGCTAGAAGACTTGGAGAATGCTGCCCCTGTCCCCAGCCCATGTCCCCAGACAGACAGCAGCGTTTGGCCCCAGGCCCTCTCCCAGGCCTGCGCTCAGGGGTGCTCTCAAGGGGCCAGTCCTCAGCTTCCTGGGTCGGAGAGTTCCCAGGATGGGACAGGTCAGAGCTGGCCCCAGGCTTCTCCTGGGATTCCCCGTTTTTGGGAAAAGGGCGAGGTCACGTTCCTTTCACAGATAGTGGGGCCCAGCCGGGACGCTGTCTGGGTTTCTAGGTGTTCAGAGCTCTGGTCGCCAGGAGAGCCAGATACCCTCAGCAGGTGTCCCCGGGCCAGTCGTCCTGGCCAGCTGCTTTGCTCCCGGGATGCTGTGGCTTTGCTGCTGGGCTTTCTCCTCTCCCCTGCGGGAGCGGTCGCTCTGGGGCAGACCCATGCCTGGTCTGCACATGCCTGTGGTGCAAGTGTTGGCCCAAGCTCCCCGTGTCTCTCTCCAGCCCAGGTTTCAGTCTTCTCTCCTGCATCACAGCCTTGCAGGCCTCTGCAGGATCTCGGCTTCCCTTCTGGCTCCGGCAGGGGACCTGGCCCACTGTGGGCTCCGTGAATGTTTGCTCCATTTTGCTCTGTGGCTCCGTGACTTTTCCTGACAATGTTCCCCAATCCTTTGACTGGATCCCTTCCCCCCTCAACTTCAGGAAGAGTGCACCCCTGGGGCTGTCAAACTAGACCCTGTGATCTGAAAGTCAGACTTCAGAGCTGCCGTCTGGTGGAAGTCACCTGAGGCTGATGACCAGACGTGGTCAGTGGGACCCCCCCCCCGACACTACCCTCCTCCCTCCATCTCAAGAAAGCTAAGCGAGGGCGAGGGTCGGGGGCCCACGGCCCCTTCGACCCTCCC